AGAGGGGGTCTTAGGGTCCTGGAAGTTGGAGCCCTAGATGTCAAGGTCTGGGGTTTTAAGGTTCCCGGGTGACTGGGTCCTGAGTTTTCAAGTCCCAGATGTGGGCATTCCGGGGTAGGCGGGGGCTGTGTCCTTACGTGCCGGCCTGGCGCAGGGAATGGATGAGGATTCGGTCCGCCTCCTCCATGGTGGAGCCGTGTCCGAGGCCGGGGCTGGGTCCAGGGCCGGGTCCGAGCAAGAGAAGCGCAGCTGTTGAAATTCCGCTCAGCACCCGCCGTCCAAGGAGTGTCACGGGCTGCGCTGGGAGAGCCGGGAAGTGTAGTTCCGAGAGTGCGTGCAGCGCACGCCGGACGCCTGGTGTCCGGGTGCGAATGTGCACGCTCAAGCTTGAGCGCGCAATGGCTGCTGGGAGTTGTAGTTCTTCCGCCTGCAGTCCAGTGGGCTCTTCTAAGTGGGCAAAGGGGTATAAGGCGCGCACGCGCGTGCGTATGCGTGCGTGTGTGTGCGTGCATTAGGGGGAAGAGGAGGGTTGGAGAGTGGCTTGACTCATTCATTTAAGGCGGCATTCGTCTTCTAGATTGCAAAAGCGTACAAGTTAAGTGCAAGTTAAGGGCAAGGGCTTTAGCACAAAGCGGCTAGGGTTGAGTCTCAGCTCTTTAGCTCAAGTCTTTAACTCAAATTGCTAAATGTGCAGCCGTGGGCAGGTTACGTAACTTCCCTGCGTCTTAGTTTCCTCACCTATAAAATGAGACTATTAATAGTACCTGCTTCCTAGGATTAAAACAGGATTAATTCATGTAAAACACGTTGTACTATGTGCCTGACACATAATACAGTAAAAAAGCACTATGTAACTTGTAGTTACTAGTATTCAGGCATTCAATAAATGCTTTATTTTAATGTTATACATATGTGTAAACTCCAAAGAATAATTACATAGTAAACACTCATTTAACCACCATTCATTAAAAAGACCACTCTGTCTTCATTGCTCAGTAGTGCCACATTTGTCATAAATCACGTGTACATATATGTGGGGCTCAGTTTCTGAACTCTGTTCTTAATTACTGTAGCCTTATAACAAACCTTGATATCTGATGCGGCAAGTTCTCTCCTCTTATTCTTTTTCAAAATATCTTGGCTTTTCTAGGTCCCTTGTACATTGATATACATTTTAGAATCAGTTTGTCAAATTCCAAGGAAAAATCTTTTGAGATTTTGTTTGGGACTGTATTGAATCACTAGATTACTTTAGGAAGAATTGACATCTTCACAATATTGACTATTTCAATTAATAAATTTAATATATCTCTCCATTTATTTAGGTCTTCTTTAATCACTTGATAATTTTTTCCATGGAGATCTTGCACATATGTTAGATCTATTCCTATGTATTTCAAATTTCAGATACTGTTGGGAAATTATATCATTTTTCTTATTATAGTATCTGACTGTTTGGTGCTGGTATATATTTTGTACAAACATTTTTTAAAAATCAGTGCCTTTTCGGTTGCCAGGCTCTGGCCCACAAATGTCCCATCTTTGCCCCCGATCACCCTCCCATCCGACCCTGTTATGGCCCCACCCTGTGACCTTAATCCCTCCAAAGCTGGGGGAAGAGAGGGGGGCTGTGTGCAGATGGCTCTTCAACCTCGAAAGGAGGATGTCGGCATCTGAAGGCGGGAAAGGTGAGAGCAGCCTTCCACCCCTACAGACCCTTGGAGCAAGCCTGGGCTCTGCTCCACCCTCAGCCCCTCTGACCTGCCCACCACCCACTAGGACCCCACGCCGGAGAGCCTCTGGGGGACCAGAACCACATCACCCTGTTCCCATTCCAGCCAGCCTCAAACACAGCCTTACCACTACCGAAGCCTGACCCAGACACTGTCCACTGTGGCCTCCCAGCCCCACCCTCAGCCTTAGTTCCCAACTGAAACACAACCCCAATCCTGGCCCCAAGCCTTATCCTAGTGCCCACCCCAACTCCAACTCCAAATCCAGCCCCAAGCTTAATCCTAACACAAACCTTACCAACCAGAGGGCAAACCCCTGTTAGAGCCCAAACCCCAACGTAGATACAGACCTTACCGTGAGCTCTCAGGTCACCTAACCTCAACCCCAACCCCTGGATGTCAGTACTCTTAGGGAGTGGGTCTCTGACTTTCCAGAAAGAGCACAGATCCATTTTTAAGGACCGAAAAAATAAATAAGTAGAGATAGAACACACACTTGATGGTGGTAGTAGTTCATGAGGGCTTGGAGTCACAGACTGCCTGGGTTTGACTCCCAATTCAGCCTCTTCATCAAATCACTTAAACTCTTTGCATCAATTTCCTCACCTGCAAAATGGGAATAATACCATGTGCCAGACATTCTTCTGAATGCTGAATTCATTTAATCCTCACAACAGCTATAATATAGGTACTCCTCATCCCTTAATACAGATAGGGAAATTGAGGCTCAGAGAGCTTACCTAATTTGCTCAAGGCCACACACAGCCACCAAGTGGTAGAGTAAGTATTTAAACTCAGTTTGTTTCCTCCAAAGCTGGGGATCTTAACCAGGGTAACCTACTGGCCCTGGAGGCTGAAACAAGGCCATGGGAATGGCCTTAGCTGAAAACCCCAATGCAAAACTCAAATCCCACCCAAACTCAACTTCAACCCTAACCTTGATCCTAATTCTAATCCCAGCTCATTCAAATACCCAGTCCTAACCCTAAATCATATCTCAAGCACACTCCACTCCCACCTGTATTTAAACCCAACCCAAAATCCACCGCTCAAATTTAACCCTAAAATTGCCTCCAGCTATAAACTTAATCCTACCCCATGCCAATTTAAACTCTACCCTCAAGTCTAACACAAACCCTACTTCACTTGGAAGCATAATTTCACCCTCACTTCCCTATAAACTCTCATTCTACCCCCAATCAATTCCAGTACCAACTCTTACCCCCCAATCCTTAACTCAGGTACCCCCAACTCTCCCTAATTTTACGTGCTCTTCTCTCCTCTCAGACAGAGAGATGAGATCAGGTAGAAGGCAGCCATGATTGCCCCAATACCCTGTCCCTCCCTGACTCAGTTTCTCCACACAGACACCACCCCAGAGCCCAGTCCAGCCAATGGGGCAGGCCCTGGTCCTGAATGGGGGCTGTGCCCTGAGCCTCCAGCATCAGGGGGTGAAACTGGCGGGGCATCGGATCTGGGGACCCCTAAGCGAAGGACTCAGCACAGTAAGCACAAGACAGTGGCAGTGGCCGGTGCCCAGCGGTCACCCCGGGCGCTCTTCTGCCTCACCCTGGCAAACCCCCTGCGGCGGTCCTGCATCAGCATTGTGGAGTGGAAGCATCCTGGAAGGCAAGGGCAGGGTTCCAGGGTGATGGTCACCAGGGTACCAAGAGTCAAGGTTTGGGTAAGGGCTGGACTGGAGGAAGGGTGAGGTCACCAGGGATCAAGGGTCAAGAACTGGATTCAAGGGGGAGTTGAGAAAGGTGAAGGTTACCAGGGAGGATCAAGAGTCAAGGACTAAATCACAACAAGAGCTGAGGATGGCTAAGGTTTCCAGTGGGGTCAAAGTCAAGGCCTTGGTCAGGGCAAGGGTTAGGAATGTCAGAGCTGGTCACTTTGGGGTCAAGGGTCAACATTGGGTGAGGAGGGCCCCAAGAGAATGTGGAGGTTCTGAGACTACTCTGCCTGGGTCCTTGACTGTGTCCACCTGAGGCCCTTCGACATCCTCATCCTGCTGACCATCTTTGCCAACTGCGTGGCCCTGGGAGTCTACATCCCCTTCCCAGAAGATGACTCCAACACTGCCAACCACAACCTGGTGAGGCTCGCCCAGCCCCGCCCTGCTCCCAGCCAGGCCCTGCCCCTCTCTGACCCAGATGACCCTCTCCTGCCCAGCCCCACCCTCGGTCCGACTATACCCCATTCGCCTGGCGCCCACCCCCGTCAAACCCCACTGCCAAATAACTTCCCGATCTCCCGCCCTGCCCCCGGCTCCACCCCCAGGAGCAGGTGGAGTATGTATTCCTGGTGATTTTCACTGTGGAGACTGTGCTCAAGATCGTGGCCTACGGGCTGGTGCTCCATCCCAGCGCCTACATCCGCAATGGCTGGAACCTACTCGACTTCATCATCGTCGTGGTCGGGTGCGTTTCTGCGGGAAACATCCCCACACCCTAGTTCAACATCTCACCCCGGGTCTGCTGAATTCAGGGCTCAGGGAAGCAACCGCTTCAGACTGCCCCCATTGGGCAGCCAGAATCAGGAATATTAACATATTTTAAACCTATTTGCATTTCCAGTTACAGGGACTTGTGCTTTTCCAGGGAGAAGGGAGGGGTGGAGGAGGGGGCCCCAAGGCCTGATCCCCGCCTCCTCGTCCCGTGCTCCCCCATCAGGCTGTTCAGTGTGCTGCTAGAGCAGGGCCCCGGACGGCCGGGGGACGCTCCGCATACCGGGGGGAAGCCTGGGGGCTTCGATGTGAAGGCGTTGCGGGCGTTTCGGGTGCTGCGGCCACTGAGGCTGGTGTCTGGAGTCCCAAGTAAGTGGCACGGCCCCTGGGATTGGAGGTGGGGGAGGGAAGTGGGAGGGGGGGTGAGATGACCCCGCCCCTACTTCGCTCGCCCCTCGCTCCCCACAGGCCTGCACATAGTGCTTAATTCCATCATGAAGGCGCTGGTGCCGCTGCTGCACATTGCACTGCTCGTGCTCTTCGTCATCATCATTTATGCCATCATCGGACTTGAGCTGTTCCTTGGACGCATGCACAAGACGTGCTACTTCCTGGGATCTGGTCAGTCATCCCACCCCTCCAGGGACAGGACACTCTCCCTCCATTGGCTCCTAGGCCCCACCCTGTTCTCAAGGAAGCCCACTCAAATTCACAAGACTCTGCCCCCAGGTTCAAGCTCCACCCCCGGATAAACAAGCCCTACCCCTATATTCAAGCTCTGCCCTCCATCCCGGGCTACAATCGCCCCCCTTGCTAATAGCTCCGCCCTATCACGAGACTCCACCCACAGGCCAAGGCCCTGCTGGGCGCTTAAGACTCCGTCCTCCAGGACTGGCCCCATATACTCCGGCCCTTCATCCAGACCCCAGCCCAAGCCTTGCCCCCACCCTTTTTTCAAGAGACCCTCTCAAATTCACAAGACTCCACCCCCAGAATCGTGCTTCACTGCTCTTTACAAGACTCTGCTCCGAGATTTACAGTCCCACTCCTCTGATCCCTGTGGCTGGGACTCAGCTTCCCAGTGGTTCAGAATCACGACCCAACAGAGTCAGGGACTAAGGGATGCCCTTGATTTAGAAAAATCTAGAACCCTGAGTCGAACTTTCCAGGTGGGCGGGGCTCCAGGGTGGCAGCGACTGTGGGTGGGTGTGTTTCGGAGCCCAGAGCTCCAGTCTTCCCGCAGACGTGGAAGCGGAGGAGGACCCATCGCCCTGTGCGTCTTCGGGCGCGGGGCGTGCCTGCACACTGAACCAGACTGAGTGCCGTGGGCGCTGGGCAGGGCCCAATGGAGGCATCACCAACTTCGACAACTTCTTCTTTGCCATGCTGACGGTCTTCCAGTGTGTCACCATGGAAGGCTGGACTGACGTCCTCTACTGGGTGAGGTGAACGGTGGGCACACAGTGAGGTGGCTACACCTGCCTTTCCTCCCTGAGCTCAGATGGGAATGTCTGCGTACCCTGAGAGATGCATTCCCTCTCTCTCCCCAGATGCAGGATGCCATGGGGTATGAGCTTCCCTGGCTATATTTCGTGAGTCTTGTCATCTTTGGATCCTTTTTCGTCCTCAACCTTGTACTCGGCGTCCTGAGTGGGTGAGGAGCCTAGACACCCACCTCATCCTGCCCCTCAGGCCTGTCCCTTTTTTTTTGTTTCTGGCAAACTCCTAGGCATCCTTCAAAACCCATCTGAAATACCCTTTCATTCATTCAATCAACACTAAGCGTCTACCAAGGCGCCATTTTAGGAATGGAACAAGAGACAAAAATCCCTGCCTTCCTGGATACAACATTCTGGTGGGGAGAGACAGACAATAGCAACATACAGAATAAATAAGTGTATGTGTGTGTGTACATACACATGCACACACATATATATGTAGTGTTTTATGGAATATGTTCTATGGAAAGAAAGGAAGGATAAAGATAGGAATGGCGAGATCTTGCAGTTATAAATAGGGACAGTCAGGACTGGCCTCCTTGAGAAGGTGTTAACTGAGTAAAAATGTGAAAGAGATGAGGGAGTGAGCCATGTGGATATCTGAGGAAAAAGTGTTCCAAGGAAAGGGAACAGCCAGTGCAAAGGCTCCAAAGCTAGAATGTGCTTGGCATACTCAAAGAACAGCAGGGAGGCCAGTGCAGCTGGAATGATGCAGACGAGGGAGCCAGGGTGGTTCCCCCACCTAGCCCTCTACCCTCCTCCCTCAGGGAGTTCTCCAAGGAGAGGGAGAAGGCAAAAGCCAGAGGGGACTTCCAGAAGCTGCGGGAGAAGCAGCAGTTGGAGGAGGACCTGCGGGGCTACCTGGACTGGATCACACAGGCGGAGGAGCTGGACATCGAAGACCCCTCAGCTGATGGTTCTGTGGTTGAAGAGGGCCTGGCCGGCCATCGTAGGCAACCCCAGTCTGGCCCATTCCCCGCTCCCTGCATGCCTCAGATGTGGGCTGCTCTCCTGAGACCCAGCCCCAACCCGCAACAACTCTAGGCCCAGCCCCCAGTTATGGCCTAGGACATAGAACCCAGACCCAGACTCAGATACCCTTCCTGGACTGTACCCAGAACAAAGACTCCGAATAACGCTCCCCACACACCCTAACCTGCCCCAGGCCATGCTCCCCAACTGTCCTCCCTGTCCATGCAGGGCCGCAACTGGCAGAGCTGACCAATAGGAGACGAGGACGTCTGCGCTGGTTCAGTCACTCCACCCGCTCCACACACTCCACCAGCAGCCACGGTGGGTCCAGCCAGGTGGAGGAGGGAGGCGGGATGGGTAGGCAGAGGAGAAAAGCCAAGGGTGGAACTCTGGGGTCTTCATGCACTGACCTCTATTCCCACCCTGTCCACAGCCAGCCTCCCAGCCAGTGATACCGGCTCGATGGCAGAGACCCCAGGCAATGAGGAAGAGGAGGAGGGGGCTCTGGCCAGCTGTACACTTTGCCTGTAAGGACTCCCAGCCCTTGACCCCTGACCCAGTGCAGAACCCAGTCCAGAGCCTGACTCCAGTCCTGACTTTAGCCTCAAACTTTGACTTCAGCCACTGACCTCCGACCCCAGCCACTGACTGCCCTTCAGCCCCTTTTGACGCCAACCTCCCATCCCTCTCTTTTCCAGAAACAAGATCATGAAAACCAGGGTCTGGTGAGTTGGGAAAATTATGTGACACCTGGACCCCATGATTTTGTGAGCCCCACCTCCAAGGCCCCCATGACCGCCGGGCTCCCCCACCTGAGCCCCCCAAGGCAGGCTTAGGTAGGCAATCTCAGCCAGTGGGCTCCCCCTTCGCACCCTAGTCGCCGCCTCCGCCAAGCCAACCGGGGCCTACGGGCGCGCTGCCGGCGGGCTGTCAAGTCCAACGCCTGCTACTGGGCCGTGCTGCTGCTCGTCTTCCTCAACACGCTGACCATCGCCTCAGAGCACCACGGGCAGCCCATATGGCTCACCCAGACCCAGGGTGCGCCCCTCCGCCTGCCAGCCCTTTTCCCCAGCCCCCAATTCCCTCCACCCCTGAAACCCAAATCCAAGATTTCTAGGGTGCCTCAGACCCCCAGACGCTGCCTTCCCACCCAAATAAATGCATAAGCCTTAGCCTGTCCCATCCCACCTTGTAGCTTATGCTTCTGTAGTGCTCGTTGTGTGCGTCAAGCTGTTCTCAGCGCTTTACGCGTACTAACTCAACTTCTCTTCACCTCAACTTTCTGTGAATTAAGTACTAAAGCACAGAGTACTGAGCACCAAGGTACTGAAGAGTTAAGTGACTAATCCCAGGACTCAGCTAGTGAGTGGCAAACCCAGGCAGCCTGATTCCAGAGCCCAGGCTCTTAACACCACACTGTCTGGACAAGTTAACCCCCTCATGCCTCAATTTCCCCATCTACAAGATGGTGGTAGTAATAGTATCCACTTCATGGGGTGGTTGGGAAGATTAAATGAGTTAAAGTGAAAAGTGCTTATAACATTGCCTGGCCCAAATAAAGCTAACACTTGATAAGTGTTAGCTCCTAATATTATTCATTTTAACCTTAACCCCAACCTGAATTCTGAGCACACTTCTAACCCCAACCCTCAAACCAGCCCCAGTCCCAACTAAACTCCAGACTCTAACTCTACCATTGAATTGGAGTTCTTCTGGACTCAGAGGCTGACTGAGGCCCCCACACCAACTCTGTCCCTCACCCCAGCTCTAAGCCCCTCAAAACCTCGCCCACTCTGACCTACAAGCTCACTCCAATCCCTAACCCTAACCCCACCATCAGCCTGTGCCTGGTGCAATACCAGCTACCCCAGACCGCCCCATAGTCCCTACCTCCTCACATGTCACCACAGAAACTGGCTAGCCCAGTCACCTCTACCCCTCTCCCCACAGAGTATGCCAACAAAGTGTTGCTTTGTCTGTTCACGGTGGAGATGCTTCTCAAGTTGTACGGTCTAGGCCCCTCTACCTACGTCTCCTCCTTCTTCAACCGCTTTGACTGCTTCGTGGTTTGTGGGGGCATCCTGGAGACCACTCTGGTGGAGGTGGGCGCCATGCAGCCCCTGGGCATCTCGGTGCTCCGATGTGTGCGCCTCCTCAGGATCTTTAAGGTCACCAGGTGTGTGTGGGGGGGCGACTGGGACCCCCAAACACAGCCCCAACAGCCCACATCCCAGCTTCAATTATAGCTTAATCTGTATCACCTTTCATTTAGCAAATATCCATTGAATGCCTACTGTGTGCCAGGCACCCTCCCAGGCCCTAGGGAAACACCAAGGAATCAAAGCAGACACAAGTTCCTGCCTTCATGGAGATTAAAGTCCATTGGGGAGGATGTCTACTCCATTTCCATTCCCTTCCTCAACCTCAATCTTTGAACTCAACTCCATACTCATTCCCAACCCAAACCCCATCCCCAACCCCCAGTCATTACACCATCTCTAACCTCAACCCCCAACCACTCATCATCCACAAGCTCATTTACAGCCCCAACACCCAATCCCAAGCCCAACCCCATCTCCAATCTCATCCCTAACTTGCAGCCCCATCCCCATCACTAACCACAACCCCTACATCCCTAACTCCTAACCATTAGCCTATCTCCAACCACAACCCCATTCCCAGCCTCAGCCCCAGCCCCAGTCACATCCCCATCCCTTCCTCTGTTCCAACCTTCAACCACAACCTTATCCCCAATTCAGTCATCTACAACTCCCAATATTCCCCAATCCCTAACTCCAAACCCAGTCCCAGTCCCAATCTGAAACTCAATTCTAGCTTCACCAACTTCTATATAACCTCTATCCTAACCTCATCTCCCATTACACCCCTGATGCCAACCCTAACCCCAAACTCAACCTTCCCCTCATTTCTTATTCTCACCTCACCCCAACTCCAAAATCACTTCCAACCCTGACACCAAAGCTCATTTTAACCCAGCCTGCCCCGTTGCATCCCAACCTGGAGCCCTGCCCTGGCTCCTGACTCACCACTGGACATGTCAACCCTGCCCTCTCCATCTCTGCTGCAGGCACTGGGCATCTCTGAGCAATTTGGTGGCGTCCCTACTCAATTCAATGAAATCCATCGCATCCTTGCTGCTTCTCCTCTTCCTCTTTATCATCATCTTCTCCCTGCTTGGCATGCAGCTGTTTGGGGGCAAGTTCAACTTTGACCAGACCCACACCAAGCGAAGCACCTTTGACACCTTCCCTCAGGCCCTCCTCACTGTCTTTCAGGTGGGGCCTGGATATCACGGGATGAGTGGGTTGAGAGGACCCTAGGGTAGGGGGAGAGTCCCCAGAGCTTCACCGTGACCTC